AGGGATGCAAATTCCATTAAAGTAATTAAATGTTTTATTTTATGGTAGGCGTTCGAAAAAAATATGAACTTACAAAATGTGTCCCAGCTTGTTCATCAAATGATGATGTTAATCCAAAATCGATGAAAAGCCATCTGTGCGATTAACCTTGTGCTGCGTTTGACTGTCGTCATCCTGTGTTTACACTAGTTTCTAGGCTACGTTCATTTTTTTTTCTTAAATTTAAAAATAAAGAGTATTTTCTCAGCAGATTCTTCTGATTTTCTTTTCCTAGCCACGCGGTCGTATAATCAGCTCAAGATAGTAAAAAATACAGCTCGCTCCGGTAAAAAAAAATGCATAAAAAATGAATGGAAAACACATCTGGATACCGGCAAGAGAAGAAAGACGAGAGTTTACTTCATATATTATGGTTATGTGAGGCTCAATTTTTTTGAGAGGAACCGAACCTAGATCATCGTATCGCCGGTCGCGTCGCAAACGCAGTTGCCATCTGATCTCGCTTCGGGCAGGATTCTCATTCTGAAAGAAGAAAAAAAATTTGTGAACTATCCAGTGACTGACACGTTCTTTTTTTTTTAAATCAGGAAATTAAATTAATAAAACAGAACAGTCCTGAATTCATCGAATTCATCGGAATTATTCAAGACCGCGAGAAAGTAATTGAATCAAAATCAAAACTCGATCCAGTGCGTGACGCGTGACGGACATTTTCTGTGACTGCTGATGCCTGCAATTACTTTTTATGCGTCATCTCATGATGTGAGATAAATCAATAACTGAGAGAAGAGTATCTTGAATAAAAATATTTTGCGAGTAGACTTTGAATCTTCGATTACATTGAATACCGGGATACCGTTATTGAGATTCCATTATGCTCTGCGAACACACGAGCGAATTTTCCATCCACTCCATTCAAAATTAAACTCGCTCAGGATTTATTTTCTTGAACTGATGCCTCAAGCGCAAATCAACACGACAGATGCCAATTCAGTAAAACAAATGCAGTAAAACCATATATATTCCTTTTTTGTAATATATATTCGTGGAATAAATAAAGAGGATAACACATATGTATATATGAAGGAATTCAGCCAAGCGTAGATTCGAAGGTCTGTCGTTGTGGTGCACTGATGGAGACTCGATTTTTTTGCGTGACTTATTTACACGAAGATAATCGCCCCTCAAGTACTGAAGAAATAAACTAATTCATTGCGTGATTTTTTTTCCGCAACATTTACCAGAACAAAATACGCAGGTTCGCAAAATATTAAATATTTTAAAATCTTTGATTTAACTCGGGGTTATACGCGTTAATCGTCGGCCTCTGCATCGTGGTTTTCAGATTGATACCAATTATTGTGATTAATTTCCGGCGACGAGTTTGATTTTTTTTCTTGTTCTTGCTTTTGTTGATGATTGGCCGATAGAATGTTCAAATAGACCGTAGTGCTAAATGTTCTGATGTGCCAAAAATTGAAAATTTAAGAAGAGATCGACTGGATCAAATTAGTTGGAATTTTAGGCTGTCCAATCTCCCCAACGGTTTGAGGTAAACGTAAAATTCCGTTGAAACAATGAATTTTCAAGATTCATTACAATCAACTATTTTCTGGATGAGTTTTTCCACTGTTTCTCTTAGAATGATCAAAAGTTGCAAATTTGCTTTGAAGTTTTATTTTTACCTTCAGAGGAGAGAAATTTAAATACCTCGCAATATATAGTGTCAATATTTTTTATTAAATTTGAATCAGAGATTGCTTGATTTATTAAGAAAAAGTTGAGCATTCTTTGCATATGAAAGAAACTTTATTGCGGGTAGCGTGTCAACTTCTTTGCTTTGAGCTGCTAATAATTCCTTTTATTTTTTATTTCAATGTGCTGTTCCGATATCATAAGAAAAAAGTTGACTAAAAAAATCTCTGATTAAAAAATTCTTTTTTTGCCATTTGGATGCAATACGTTTTTTATTCGGCTCAATTTATGGATCTCTTGAATATTTTTGTCATCAGCAGGTTCTATTGCATGATAAATTTAAACTAAAATTGACTAAATATGTTTTCAAATGATGTCAATTTTTATGATTTTAATGATGTTATTATGACCAGCAAAACTAATACGTATATAACATGGGAAGAAAGTTGCGATTTTAATGAAAGTTGAGAAATTCTTACAAGATTGTCCTTGTTCCCAGTGCCTTCATATTTTTCTCAAGCAGCCAGCAGTAAAACAATATATGCAGCAGTTTTCAATTGTTCGGATTTCAGGAATGTCCGAGGAATTTTCTTTTCTCCCCATTTATTTTATGACATGTTTATTGTAGCATTAAATGCAATTGTGGCAAATTTCAATTGTTCCTTATAGTTCCGGGAAATCGAAACGAAAAGGATTCTGTGAACAAATTTCAGCAGAACAGTTTCTGCGTCTTATTTTTCCAAAGAGCGAGATGGAAATACAGATTCAATCAAAAAATAATTAGTCAAGGAGTCTGTACAGTACATCACTCCTTCATGAATCAAAGTCAACTGATGTCCCTGAATAACTTGTAAAGCATCATTCCTCATCAACTTTTATTTTTGCAAGCCCTTATAAAGGCAAAGGCAGATACAATTTCATATGGAACTATTAATTATCACATTCGAAAGAGAGAAGGAAAACAATTATGTTTGGCACATATTGTCAGAAAATTCCCACAGCAGAGACGTGGATTTGGTCTATAAACCGTGATTGCCTCCACGCGTTTAATTTTCTCACACCTTGTCGGAGTACATTTCTTTTCTTCTTCTTCTTCTTGTGATAAATGTATTTTTCCAGTAAAATAAAAAAAATTTGCGATATGAGGACAGGAGAAATATTAACGATCGAAGTCTCTGGTTGACCTAGAGTGGTCGCGGTCCAGCGGGTTTTGAAGGGACATTTTGCACGCCGCCCGTTTTCCCCTTTCTCGCCGTCAACTTTATTGGCTCACTTTCTGATTTCCCCTGTTTGTCCTATTAAAACAAAAATTTTATTTGATAGAAAAATGAAATAAATAAATAAAAGGAACTGCCGGCCGCGATTCTGGATTTTCCTCTCCTCGCCTATTTTCCCGCGAGTCCTTCGCCCTTGGAATCAATTTGGTGGCGTTGAGTGTTTTTTAAGCCGCGTGTTTGTTCACCGCGACCTTTTTTTTTTCTAAATAGGGAATATTACGACGTTTAATTGAGTTACATAATACCAAACTTGTTTATTTTATGTATCTATTTATCAATCACGGAAAAAGTTGGGGATAGAGCGATAAGAGGCGTTTGATATAGACGTGGGTTTGAAACTTGAGAAAAAAGTGAAATGTAAGCGATCATATATTTGTTTACTTCGCGGCTGCTTAATCTGGCTTTCTCAGTTGGTTTTTTTATTCAACAAAGACTGAAAAAAGGTTTCATTTCTTTCTTTCACAGATATTATTTCAATTAATTTTACGGAAATAGTCTCGTGGACGTGTGCATTAAATCAACACGGTTGAACAAAAATGAAGTACACTGAGAAATTTTTTTTCTTTATTCATAAAATTCATTCCAGCACACAAATTAATTTCCACATGGACCAGATATTTTTTTCTGACCTGTTATGATTGCTGTGATTTTGAACGATTTTTGCAGCATTCGATTTCTTTTAGAGAATATATTTGCATTGACAATAACCCGGACCAACGACGATGAATCGTTTGGTAACACTGTATATGATGAGGGCATTATTTAAAATGTGGTGTCATTCACATGCTATGGAGTAAAATGTCCTTTTCGAGAAATGAGAATGATCCGTGGTTTTCACCAATTTTATCCTTGACTCGGTTTCTCCGCATTATTCTGCGTTCAAAAAGATATTTATAAATCATGACCTCCTACAACGTGACGGATGTAACCTTCAGGAAAGACGTGTGGTGCAAGGAAGAATCAACTGACAAAATCCTGGACATTTTCATGTCGCAAATACGTGCCGATTTGCAATTATTCTCTGGGGGGTTTGGCTTTGCAGAAAAAGTGACATACTCATACTGTAATTTTTTTCTACTTCCACAATTTGATGCATGCTTTTCATGCATCCTGGAGCATGATGTGGTGGAACTGTAGAAAATTATACAAAAACCCAAGAATATCTCAGGAAATAACAGAAAATTTAGACTTCTAAAGTGAACACAAAGTCTTCAGAGGAGTGCGGAACTAGGACATCAATTTTAGTAACCCCATGAAAACTTATGATGATGCACATGCCAAAACATTTTTCATCTTATACCTTGTTTTTTTTTAGATACCCGCGTTTGTCATACAAAGTCAATTATAGCTGTAAATATTAGGCATCCATCATTAGATGTTAGACATTGAATTTAGTTTTTTGGAGCATTTTTTCAAACTCCATACCTAGATGAAGAAGCAAGATATCGTACATTTAAGTAAGAATTCAAATTCGTGGTTCTATCACTGTGCCTTGGATATTTAATTTAATATTTTGTATCTGGGACTCAATTATCCAAAAATACCAGCTCCAATCAAGTGTATTAGTATGATGCTACTGTATGTACTTGTATAGTATGTAATTAGTTCCAAACATCCATAGCCCTTATCTGAGTAATGCGATTATATCGTATATGAAATGGCTGTTCCATTCTAGATTTTTTTCTGAATTTTCTTCAGGAACGTCTGGACAAACTTTTCAAAAAACTCACCTTCACAACAAAATCTCATTCATACATGAAATCTTCCACAAAAAAAACTTATAGAAGCAGGGTTGAATGGTGTTCAAGTTCAACACAATCAAGATCGTCGAAAAAAAATTTATTCACTCAAGAAACGAGCTTTTCTGCCAAATTTTCCAGTCCTCAAAAATGAGCTTCCCTTATTCTATTGTGTGTTGGTTTAAAAAAAAAACGTTTGCTACTTCCTCTCTGCTATTATTGTGATTTTGAAGTGTTGATGCTGATCCCTCGTGCAAACTTGAGGGAGAAATTAATGATAACTTGAATCGCAGTGCAACAATCAACCGAAGGATATTATTGTGACTTGAGAGAGGAATAGTGTTTGCGTATTTATGGCATATAGTCCGAAGCGCGTTGCGTCGACTGCATCAACAGCAGCACCTGCTTCACCAGCATCAGCAGCAGTATAGCACCACCACCACCACCAGAAGCAGCAGCACCACTGAAACCATCTGCAGTACCTTCGACAGCACCACCACCACCACCACTGGAAGCAGCAGCAGTGATATGAACGCGTCGAGCGCCAGCGCGGAGTCGGCAGAATCGTCAGCTGGGAGTCGGCGGGTGTCGCGACGCGTGCCACGTTCTGGTGTTGTCCCGAGAGATACGATCGACAGCAGAGTCATCCTCGCTGCCAGCACCAGCAGCAAATCCCTGGCAGCTGGTGCCTGTCCATAACTCACGACACCGCGTGGACAATCCGATAGCATTATTGTCCCGGTTAGAAGACGAAAAACAAAATTTATATATACATATTCCGTATATATAAATATATATATATATATATATATATATACTTACAGACACGACGAGTGTTTGTGAGTCAACTCCCGAATCCTAAAGTGGGAAGGAACTGCGAACGAAGAAAAGTTTAAACAAGGAAGCAGTGCTGGTCGAAGAGACTTTCGAGTGTGTGCAAAAAAAAATACAAAAACTAAATCAGCCATGCAAATGTCGTTCGCTGGCGTTTTTGCCCTGATGCTGGTGTTTCAAGCATCCAGAAACAGCAACTTTGGTGAGTGTTTTCTTTTGGCCTGCTAATCTTTTTTTTTATGTATCGATGTAATGAGAACGCAATTTTCTGCAGTGGGATTTCAATGAATTCCGTTTCAACAAGCATAATTTAGAATGTCCTGAGAGTACCAAAAACAGTTGAAGATTTTATATTAGATTTTTAACATTTATGAAGTGCTCTATTTCATTGAAAATCTCGAGAGACCCGCGTTTATTTGTCCTGATAAATTGTGAAAACTGAAAATGTCATTAACTCACACTTGAGAGCGTTCATTCGAGATAATTATAATCTCTCTAGGATCCCAGATTTAAGAAAAGACGATCCATCATCATCAGCGTTAGCTAAAATACGTCACAGGTATAATTAAGTTCCATTCCACAAAAGCTTTTTTCTCAAGTTTGGATTATCTTTTTTTTTTAGTTTCTGGGACGGATCCGCCGCACAGAAAGATGCTTCGTGTCGTTACTTTATATGTGAGTAAGCTCCTAATTATTTCATTTCTTTTGTGAGCAGATGAGTGTTGACGTGTTTATTCTGGTTCTCGTCATATATTAGGCATATACAGTAACTGCATCGTTTTACAAAATATGAGATGCAATAATTGAATAAAAACTGGAAAACCTCATGAACCGGAATGTATACGCACATCATCTCTACATTTTAATGTAGGTATATTCAGGATATATATGAGCTCAATATTCTATGGATCCTTGATCACTTCTACTCTGAATGTGCAGTACATAGAAATGTGGACATTCTCTGTTAAAAAACTATTCAAGTGAAAAAGAGAGAAGGAAGCCCCTCGCTGCTGGAGGTAATTTTTTTAAATTAGCAAAATGGGTGGTGAGAGAAATGCCAAAGAACTTTTCTTACATCAATTTTAGGGTTATTGGAAATATCTATTTCTTGTAATTTGGCCTGAAATGTATTTGCAATTTTATAACAAAATGTCCCTATGTTGATTCAGTGTCCTCATGTTGGGTCATTTTTTTTACTAATTTTGTATGAAAAAATAACTGTCCCCATGTCGAATTGCCCTAGGCCGAGGTGTCCGCATGTGGGGGTCTCACTGCATATCTTTCTCAATGTGTTATATGGATGATTTTAAAAAATTCAAGCAATTCCTGCAATTTTCGAAGTATTGTGCCACTAATCAGCTTCACTGGTTGCATGCCCACCAAATAGTTCTCACCTCCATAAATTTTAATTTTTGTGTAATTTAATCCTATAACTTCTATGATTTTTCTCGTTGTTTCCGTATGCATATAAAATATTTTCTAAAATGAGCGCCTATATTACAAGGGAAAACATGAAATCAGTAAAATTTATACGATCTTGTTAGTTATATTGGGAAAACTTTGAACCAAAACTTCACGAATGAAGCTGGGTTTGACATCCCTGAGCTGCTTGCGAAAATACTTTGGCTTGTCAGATGAAAACTTGGAGATTACTTTTTCTTTTCCAGCTCCAGATATGAGAAAGAAGGAGATGAGAAACGGACGGGATGAGACTTGGTTATATACAGTATCATATAATCCCAGGAAATTAACCCGGTTGAACAACGAAACGAATTTATTTAGAATTTCAGCTCACGCTTATCTTCAATATTTGTTCCAAAAGTTGTTATGAGAAGACGAATTCCGAATTCGATTCAAAATTTGCTAGATACACAGCATTTGACAAATTCGCAGCCTGGTCGTATACACATCATGCTTGTAAAATATTTCCGTTTAAATGGCTGAATCTCAAAAAGCGTTTTTTTTCTTTCCAATCCTTTTTTATTCCTGGCTCGTCATCTTTGTCTCGTTGAGAAACGATTCATTGTTTCTGCTGACGATCACAAATAAAAATAATAAAAAGAAGAAGCACATTCGGAAAGAAAATGATGAATAACAAACACAGCGGCTCTTTTGCTCGCAGGGTAACTGCGGTCGCGGAAAAAAACATTGGCCCCTTTGTTTGACAAGTCGACGTCTTGTTCGTCTCCCACTTCTCTCCATTTCCGGCAACACAAATCAGAAATGGGAAAAAATTTTCAAAATTTCAATCAATCATCGCCGCATCTGCAATAATAAGCGTAAAATCTCACATAATTCAAGAAGAATAGCGGTGGCTTCGAGTAACCAGCAACGCATTCACTTTTTGCTGCACTTCTTCGTTGACATGTGAAAAATTCGTGAGAATAAAAGTTTTTTTTTTTAAATCATCAAAAGTCAGAATTTCTATTAATTATCCCCGAATTTCCAATAAGCGTGAAACCTCAACTATGCCGAGAAGAAGCGGCTTCGAGTGGCCATTTTGCTTTGACTTTTTTTGCACTTCTTTATTGGTGACGTGTGAAATATAAAACGCGAGAAACTTGTGAGAAAGATGCTTTCAATCTTGGATAAGATTTTTTTTAATCATTAGAAAGCGTTCAGTTCCAAGAATATATGCTCGACAAGTTTTTTTCCAAGCAAATTGAAAAGAAAGCAGTTATTGAAGAAACGCCGCGCGGAAAATCAAAGCCGCAATTAATTACGTGAATATATATTCCCATGATTGCGTCGACGTTTCAAGCTGTGCATTTCCACTATCTCTCTCTCTCTCTCTATTTTATTTTTTTACTTCTTTAGCCTGTTCAATGACGCAGTTTTGTTCTGGTTTTCTGCTGGTTGAAATATTTTTTTTTACTTGAACGTGAGAAGTGGCGCAAAAAAGAAAAGAAAGGAGTATGGGTTGAGAGTCAGCGACACCCGGTGTTTTGTTAGCTCATTGGCGGCTAAGGATTCTATTTTTAACGCCCTCTGACCATTTGACGGCAGAGCAAGCAAATGATTCGACCTGATCTTTTCTCACGTCCTTATTTCATAGATTTCCCCCCCCCCCCCATTGTTTTGTGATTCTTCTTGTTTCGGGGGTGAAACACGTACTTTTGAGGCTGGCAGCAAACGAACATGATTAGATAACATTTCTGGGCGGCTTTTGCTCTGACGCAAGAATGATTCCTATAGTTCGGGGAAACGAGACTATGTGAGACATTTTTTTTTATTCTTTAGCCTTGTGATTTTCGGGAGGTTTTTGGATAACATATTTACCGAACTTTGAGTTCATATTTTGAAATCATGTAATGCACTGTTTTCAACGGATACTTTTTTGTTGCTTGAACAGGGGTTTCGAATGGCCATGCAGTTATCATGCCGATGATGCAGCTAAATTTTTAGATTTGCATCATCCTGGAATTTTATTAATGAATATTGATAGCAGCAAGGAGAAAATAACGCTACGCAAGTTGTTCAATATTGAATACTCACTATGTTCTAAAAATCTAAACGAACTGTCAACTTCTGCTGTTTTTTTATGTCGTCTTTCTGGGATATTTTCGATTACTATCAAAAGGAATAATCTTATTATTTTTTGAGGTTGATTTCTTATATTTTGCAAACAGCCTTCAAATATTTACAGAAGACTTATTCTAGTGTGACGTTTAGAACCCATAGATTAATTTTTCGACACTACCGATTTACCGGTAACAGGTGAAAAGGTTTCGGGTACAGAAAAATGTGTAGAATTCTTCACCATTCCGTCCAAATTATATCAGTATGATACTGTATAATAGCGAAGTCAAAAAAGAGAGCATGGACCTGCAAATCTAGATAGATTTTTGAGTATAATTATCTTTTGGATGGTTTACGCAGTGAAGTTTGGTTGAAAATAAAATTAGATTTCAAGGAATCATTTTCTTTGACTTTCATGCACTGTATATTGTCGTGATTAAATGCCATATTTCCGAATGTTGCGGCAATAACGGAAAAAATCTCAATTTACCTTCTAAATTTAATTTATCCTCCAAAGATGGTCCTTGAGCGTCTTAAATGAGAACAATGCGTGTACATCAGTGAGACCACCACATATGCAGACACCTCAACATGAGGACAACTCGACATACGGACATTTATTTTTCTATGAGAAGAGCATAAAAAAGGCCCAACATACGGACATTGACTCAACATGAGGACATTGTATGATAAAATTGCCAATAAATTTCACAAAAATTGACTTTTATTTTGCTTGATTGCAAGAAATAGATGTTTCCAACCCTAAGATTCACGCAAGAAAAATTCTTTGTCATTTCTCCCATCATTTTCGCATCCATTCAGCTAATTGAAAAAAATTGCATATAGAGGGACTCATTCCTTCTTTCTTTGTGACTCGAATATTATTTTTGTAGATGCCAACATTTCAATGTACAGTACAGAGATACACTATTCAATGCTCCAAATGTTCTTATTGAGTTGAAAATATTTTCACTAAATCAAATTCAAGTGGCACACAATTTTTTTTCAAGGAATTCTGGACGATTTTTCTTCCATAAAACACTAATTAAAAATTATATAATTTAAGTCTATGGGAAAGCAAGACTCAACTTAGGGACAATTCAACTTAGGACACTCTTGATGCATCAATTACATCCGCATCTGGAGGCCTTGCTGTATTTAGGGACAATTAAATGACCGAAAACTGTCTAAAATAATTTTGTTCCACTTATTGAAATGAAGGAGCGACCGTACATGATGAACAACACGGAAGACCCGGACGCCTCAGGGAATGACAGATTCGTCGGCTTTCTCAAGGACGTGTTGGATGAAATTTCCGACAAAGTCAGCTTCGACTACACTTTGTATCTGGCACCTGATGGACTGTACGGAGCTTTTAATCAGCGCACTCAACAATGGACCGGAATGGTCGGCGAAGTGGCAACAGGGGTTAGAGATTTCGTCTGTCAAGTCCGATCATTTCTTGAAAAAAGAATTTTTGTTTTTACAAACAATTAATCCGTTCATAAATATCCCCCTCAGAAAGCCGACATTGCTGCAAATGCGCTGACCATCACTTCAGCTCGGCATTTGTCAGTCGACATCACGAAGCCATTCCTGTTCACAGGACTCAGCATCCTGTATAAGGTAAATCCAAAGTGAGACTGAATATAATAAGGATGAAAATTTTTGCGAATGCAGATTTCTTTCATAAAAAAAAAAAGACTGGACTCCAGTAAAGTAAATGCACCCCCTTCGTTTTTACCCCCAAATAATGCGGGTTGATGTTTCAGCATCGCGTGGCCGTCGGGAAATTTTACTGGAGTAGTTTTTTTTCTCTCCAGTGAATTCTTCGAAACAGTAGAAATATGTCTGTAGTACCCTGATCTTTTTTTGATCAATTTCTGGCTCACTCTTTTACCATTGAGATTGAGTTTTGATTGCACGCGATTTGGAATCCTCTAGAAGAAAAACTTCTTACAATATGCGCCATTTTTAGTCAAGTCTTGATTGATACCAACATGCTTATAGGGAAAGTTTGCCTGATTTATCTATTTGCTCATTGAAAATCATGATTTCAAAATCTGGACACCGTTTTTTTCAAAGCGGAGGAAGAATAAAAGCTTCCTAATAAGGCGAGATATTTTAACTTATTGAACCATTTTTTACTGTAACACTTGAAAATACATATAAATGTTGTTTGACAGGATTTTCAATGTTTTTCGAATGCTGAAATCGTCAAATATTCCCGCCGATTCTTTTATTCCATACCCAAATGAATAAATGAAAGGATACTTCTATTTCATCCGAAATAATCGATGAGCATGAACGGACGAGGAGTCAAAATTCCCTCTCACCTGATGCTGGTCAGTCTGTCATACAAGTAGAAGGAAAAATTGTGACGAATTCATAAGCCCCACAGACATACCAGTCAGAAAAATTGGAAAAATGCATTGAGAAAACTGATGCGATATTAATTTCCGAGGCCACGCGAAAATGAAGTATTTTGAGCACCAGCACCGTACGATGTTCTTCTGTTCTCGACATATCTTAATTCCCAATGATATGCCATTTCTCAGGGTGCAATTTCATTTTTTCTTCGTATTTTTCTATGCCTGTGAAGAATTATTGATCAATATTGATCAATACAATATTGTACTACAAGGGTTCTAACCAAAGTTCTCGGAATATAAATGAAAGTGGCATGTAAATGAGCTGATCAAAAGTGTATTCTTTAAGAAAAACATATTCTTTGGCACAAGGTTTTTTAGTCGGGACAAACTCTTGAAAAAACTTACAAAACTTTTTAAGTTGGACTACCGTCTCAAAACGAGAGGTCGTGAGTTTCCTACTCCGCGGGAATGACGTCTAAAACAACAACATCGGGTCGTTTTCCCTCAGAATTCTGGAAATCAACGTGGCATTAATTCCAATGGCGGAATTACCTTGGAAGACCGGGAGGCAACCCTTGGAATTAATGCCACCTTCATTTCAAGAATTCTGAGGGAAAAGATGGGCTACAGCAACAAGATCTGCAGGAAGGGCGCCTCATCATTTGAGTGCTAAAGAGCAAAATTCTGCCCGGGTGAATTTTTCAAAACATTGAAAAAAATTGTCAAACAGGGCGGATTTTTTCTTGTGCCAATAAAGCATATGTTTTCCTCAAAGAATACATTTTTGATCAGCTCATTTATATGCCACTTTAATCTCTATTCCGATTACTTTTGTTAGAACCCTCGTATCTTAATTCCCAATGATAAGCCATTTCTCAGATGGGTACAATTTCATTTTTCCTTTGCTTTTTTTCCATGCTTGCTGTGAAGCATTATTGATCAAGATTGATCAATACGTTATTGTATTACTCGTATTGTAATGCAAGCGTTATATTCTTATTATTTATTTTTGCGTGTTTTCCGATGAAAAAAATAAAATGAAGCACCCGTCGAGGGAAAGTGCAGGCGGTTCGGCATTCCTGACGCCGTTCACGTCGGGGGCCTGGTTGTCCGTCATTGGCATGTACGTGTTTGTTGCTTGTTCTCTCTGGCTCATCGCTCGGTGTTCGCCGATCGAACGCAAACGAATGGACTTCAATGGCGAGTCCAAGCTCACCCTGGCCAACAGCTTTTGGTTCACCATCAGCTCGGTCGTCTTGCGAAGCACCGACTGGACTCCAAAGGTCTATACTGTACACTACTGTCTATATTTATGTTCCATTCATGCCGAAATCTGAAACATTTCAGCAGAATAATCCTGGGTGTAAAGAATGCCTCAGTTTTTTTTTTTCCTGAAAAATTGGGACCATAGGTTTGGCTGGGCACTCATCCCAGCAGATAAGGTAGTTTGATGGATAGAAGGGTAGTTTTTTGGTGGGACATGGTACAGTCAACCCTGAAAATGGACTTAATTTATGCAACAGTCTAGTATCTGTTGTGCCAATTCAATTACAGTGAGACCTGGCCTGAAATGTGGATGTAATTAGTGCATCAAGATTGTCCTTAAGTCAAAATGCCCCTAATTTGAGTCTAACTTTCCCATAGACTCATATTAAATAATTTTAATTGGTGTTTTATGGACAAGATACGTACACCATAAATCCATGAAAATAAAATTTGTCTCCCAATTGAAACTGATTAAGTCAATATATTTCAACACAATATGGACATTTGGGGAATTTAATACTGATACCTCTGTACAGTACTTAGAAATGTTGGCGACATTCTCTGTAAAAATAACATTCAAGTGTAAAAAAGAGACGGAAGTCCCTCAATGCTGGATGTAAAATTTTTAAATTAGCTAAATGGATGGTAAATTGGTGAGTGAAATGCCCAATAACTTTTCTTGCATCAATTCCAGGGTTGGAAATATCTGTTTCTTGTAATTTGGCCAGAAAATCATTTGCAATTTTACCACAAAATGTCCCTATGTTGAGTCAGTGTCCTCATTTTGGGCCTTTTTTATTATTTTTTATGGGGAAATAAGTGTCCCTATATGTCGAATTGTCTGCATGTTACGGTGTCTGCATGTGGGGGTCTCGCTGTATTAAAAAACTAAATAAAATTTAAACTTTTTACCACTAATTTCAAACCAACAGAAGTCTTTTATGAGGAATTAGTCCATTGCACAGGAGAGAAAACTGCCTCCAGAGTTGTGCAAAAATCCATTGTGCAGGAGGTCCATATGAGGGGGTTGACTACTGTTTTGGGTAGGGTAGTTTGGTGGGATATGTTTTAGGTTTGAGTACATTATTATAGAGTAGGGTACAGTACTTTAAACTTTTCCTTTTTTACTTTTCTTTGAGGTCATCTAAATGTAAACTGAATAAATTTCAACACTTTAAAAATGTTCTATCATTAGTTTGGTAGGAAATAATATATGGAGCAGAACAAAATTGCAGATCTAGCTCACAGCGTATATACATCACGTTGTTCGGTTTACTTTTAATTTCCGAAATTTTGAATCCAGGACATTTTTGGTCTAACCGCAATGAATGAACCCTGGTAAATTTTTCTTTGTAAAAAAATAAGATGCGTCGTCTTTTTATGGAAACGCTGCGGAGAACAAGAGTGTTACGTGCATGTTGCCGATTTTTTTGAGGGCTCATCTGATTTTTAGCTCAGCTGAAATATAGCTAGATTTTTCATTTCCCCTTTTTCGCGTTTATTTTCAGTCCCTGTCGGCAAGAGCACTGACTTTCATCTGGTGGATGTCAAGCATGATCCTCCTGGTGAACATACGTAGCGAACACCGTCTTCTTATACGTTGACGAGCTCGGTAAGGATCCTAATACGTGACCTCCCTAAACGAGTTGGTCCTGATGCATCTCATGCCAACACAGCTCCCTCCTTCATGGGTCTAATTCTTTGAGGTAAATTCAGACCTGGTTTTGAAAATTTTATCCGAAATCTATCGGCATACACGTTTTACTTTAATGAAACATGAACAAGGCAATAAACTTGACATTCCTGGTTTAAAGTCCGAAGAATTCTTTTGGCAACTCGAAATGAACGAAGAAGTTTGAGCTCACGAATTATTGCTGATCTTGGAAGTTTTTCCGAGTTCGGGCTTTGAATTTTACCCGGGTTAGAAATAAAAAAAAGACTTATATATGGTCGAAGAGAAACAATGAAATATTTCATCAGTCTTACTGAGATCGATTTCCGTTATTGTTGAAGCTTGAAAAATGAGTTTAAAAATTTCATTGAATACGATTCCATTGGAAATTGTATTCATAGTCCATATATTCATAGGTTTTGCATTCTACGCAAGTTAGGAAAAGAACGGAAATCTTTTTCACGCCCAAAAATTACCCTTTAGCGAAAAAACATCTAACACTTGTTAAAATTTTATCAATGAGTCATATGAAGTTAGCTTTTTATCAGAAAGCTTCTGGACTTATTAAGATTTAAAGTTCAGCCCTATCTCTACCTTCGACTTTCCGAGGCCCTCGATTTTCGCCATTCTTTAGTATTGATAAAATAAATTTGATCAAATTGAGGGTATAAAGAGAAATGAAAAATATTCTTGGCTCTAAATGTTTTCATTCTTTAAATGTTTTCAATGAGCCAGCAGAGCAATTTCTGAAATCAAACTGACCAAAATAAAATCAATGACTCGTCCTCACAATAACAAAGAGATTGCAGCTTGTCATAAGACTCGTATAATACTTCCGGTTATAGCTGAAATATTTATTTCAAGTTCATGAAAAGTATTTTCGACAAGGTTCTCTATATGATTTCATTCACTCGAAAAAAAAATCTGTGAAAAACCAGAGCAGTCAAATCACAGAATACAAGCAAATGGGCGAGAAGATGAAGCGAAACCCGGGATGGATGGCCTCGTCCTACGCCGAAGGAATGCAGCGAGTGGAAGAAAGCGATGGCCGCTATGCTTTCGTCATGGAGACAACAATGGCGGACTATGTCGTGCACAGGAATTGCAATTTGACAAAAATTCCTGGCCTTTAAGTAGCCTCTTCGATACCCAACCGGAACTTTTTCCCTAGCGGAGAGTGAGTGGGATAATCATTACGCTAAGAGCTCGAAGTCCTTGTCCCTCGGTACGTCCACTAATAAAAGTTTTTTTTTGAATACTGTATTTAAACAAAAATGAAGTGAGTGGAAATAGTTATGCCAGACGGACAAATGCGTCCTAAATTAATTTTCTTCTCTGAAAATTAAATCCCGTTTCGATTCAAAGCTGATTTTAAGAGGATTGCTGACAAATAGTTATTTTTTTCATTTTGCTGTATTTCTAAATGACGCATCGAGGCAAACACAAATTTAAAATGTAAAAGCATTATTACAAGACTACCTTTCCAATATTCGTTGATGGACTCGGATTGAAATTGAGGGGAAAACATAAACGACGAAATTTCCTTTTATTTTTCTTGGAAAATAAAATTCCAAATAGCTTGATCTCGAAAATTGTGCGAAGGATTTGCATTCAATTTTCTCTAATTATTCTGGCTACTCGTTTTCGACAGAGAAACTGGTAGATTTTCATAATTATACCACACAAATTGAAAGTAAAAGCCGCCTTGTTTCGAAATAATGCAAGAACAATAATTTGAACATAGCATATCAATGCTGGATCACATTGTGGGGCCCTTGAATTATTTTTACTGATAAACTGCTTCAAATGTGGAGGCCATTAATTTACACAGCCTTCTTACAACATCCACTTTAGACCCCCACATGCGGACACCTTGACAAGTGGACACAGGGACACTTATTTTCCCATAAAAAATTAATAAAAAGGTCCAACATGAGGACACTGACTTGAAATATAGGGACCTTTTGTGGTAAAATTGCAAATAATTTGCAGGCCAAATTACAAGAAGCCGATATTTCCAACCTTGAAATTGATGTAAGAAAAGTTATTGGGCATTTCTCTCACCCATTTACCATCCAGTTAGCTAATTTAAAAAAATTATCTCCAGCATAGAGGGACTTCCTTCTCTCCTTTTCACTTGAATGGTATTTTTACAGAGAATGCCAACATTTATTTGCACTGTACATGCAGCGGTATCAGTTTTCAATTCCCCAAAAGTCCATTTTGTGTTGAAATATATTGATTGAGTCAGTTTCAATTGAGCGACAATTTTTATTTTCATGGAATTATAGTGAGCATTTTGTCCATGAAACACCAGTTAAAAATTGTATAATGCAAGTCTAAGGAAAAATGAGACTAAGATTGGGGACATTTAGACTTAGGGACACTCTTTATGCACCAATTATGTCTGCATCTCGGGGTCTCACTACTGTATGAGAAAGAAAACAAATTTTAACTGCGTTAAATATTCATTTCATGGTCGTGGAAATATTTTTGCAGGCATTATACATGAAATGGTGGCATGACACGGCTGCTGAAAATTGCCAGCCGTTCCGATTCGAGGAGCATGTCTATACGCTTGACGCCACTCACTTGAGTCTCCCAATTGAAACTGATTAAGTCAATATATTTCAACACAATATGGACATTTGGGGAATTTAATACTGATACTTCTGTACACTACATAGAAATGTTGGCATTCTCTGTAAAAATAACATTCAATAGAAAAAAAGAGA